TTCTTTTTGATCACTAAGGTATTTTAATGGCAATCCCGTTTTTGTATCAACTTTGTAAGAGCTTAAGTTCACATTTTCCTTATTACTCATGAACCATTTAAATTGATCTTCATGCTCTTGAGGCATAATTTTTTTTCGCATTGGTGGTTTAGGTGCAGCTAAACATCCATGACTAAATACGCGTTCATGTATTTTTGCATTGTGAATTGTATGTGAAAAAACCTATAAAAAGATAATGAATTAGTTAAAGAAAATTTTATCTAAAGGTAACATAAAATATTTACATGAAGTCTAGTTTGTAATTCTTTATAAGGGAACTTATCTGCAATAATTGAAAGTATTCTTTGTTTTCCATTAGCATCACGTTTATTCAAACTCAGGCTATGTTCAAAACTTTCCCAAAATACTTCTGTAGCATTGAATGTTTGCTTGGGTATTGTTCATAGAAAACCACTTTAGTAAAGCATATTGATCATCGCTTTATCTGATTCAGGATTGGATGATCGAGTCCAAAATTCATACTATAAAATTTGGTAAAGCAATTTTTAATTGAATTATTATTTTATTTATTTATAATAAGGGTGAATTTATCATCACAAAATTACACCACCGGATTATATACTACCATCACCAACATCCATCACCACATTCATCACCACATCTATCACCACATCTATTACAACATCCATCCCCGCATCTATCACTACAAGCAATCCAGCAATAGATTCAATCAAAAATAATAACCTATCTCCGATTCTTCTTTATCAAATAGTGTTATATTAACACATCCGATAGCACATAACATTGCACGCTATGCTCGAATTTCCCTTTCAGAAAAAATATAACCATCTGGATATAATAAATCTAACCGACTATGTAGTTCAATTATTTGACAATTATTTTCCTTCCATTCCTGAAACAATAAATACCAATTAACTTGGCTGTATGTTCTTGTTCGTAGATGATATTTGAATAATTGCTCCATTTTTGAATAATTGTGCTATTCATCATGAAAACATAACAACTTTCTTGCTTGTTCTAGTTTTTCTTTTACACTAGAATTATTTAAGCTGAATAAAGTTACTTCTGACCACTCTTTTAATATGTCTATTTTTTTCTACACGCTATTAGGATCTAACCCATGAAATTCTTCCGACAATTGGTTTTCTTTGTAAATACGAATGGAACATCCATTTTCATTGATAGTTTGAAAAAATAAAGCACATTCTTTAGATTTAGAATAGATAAAAGATGAAGTAAATCCACATCCGGCTCCTTATTTTGCTGGCATACCAATTGAATGTATCATTATATTGATTTTTTTGATTTATTGTTGTATACTTATCATGAAAGGTTGAAAGGATAAGTCTGCAAGTTCATCTAAAATATTATTGTCTTTCATACCCATCATTAATGCTTCAGAAAAACGCGTTTTAGTTTGAAATATTTTTGTACAATTTTGATATAGCACTTGTAGGGTCATTTTCAACTTCTTCGTTAGATTCTAACAAAGATTCACATAAAAATCCTGGTAATAGATTGTTATGTTTGTTTCCTTGAACAACTCGAATAATAAAAAGTCTGTTTTTCAGCTAAACGTGTTTTCATTCTAACTCGAAAGGGGTAGTATTGTTCAATTTTTGTTCCATTCTCTTGTGACGTTCTAACATGCCACCAGTTTCTTAAAAAAGGCCCAAAGTGCAAGTCAGAAACAATTATGCCAGTAGCAATCAATGTTACCAAAGGTTTCCACCTCCTAAACATTCTTTTGAACAGTTTATTACAATGTCTTAATAACATTATTGTCAAATTGTTATAAGTATATTTTTTAAATATATTAATTATCCCTGCTTTAATTATTACCTGCATATATGATCAACATCCCGTGATTAGTGAATCACAAATTAATAATTTTGCAAACATTATTCTTGAAAAATTAAATGAGATACATATATTTAATTATAACATATATATACAAATATGATGAATTATTATTAATATATTCTTAATAATCAGTTGTATAAAAATAGACACCCTGTATCTAAGTATTATGGACTTACTCAAAATCCTATTACAAATGATATTATATCGATTTTGAAATTGGATTGGAATAAAGATAATCATTATATAATAGATCACCTATTATAAATAATTTATAAAAAGTACTCAAATTAATAGCCATCTAGTAAAAGAAATAATTGAATTTTTCTCTTTGATCAATTCCAAGATATTATATTTATTTCTGATGATGGATTTAATCAGATATATAAAGCACTTTGGATTGATGGTAATATTCAAATTTGGAATAATGAAAATTCAAATTTCAAACGAAATGGCTCAATATGTGTTACCTTAAAAGTACTCAATAACTCTGTGAATATCACTTCTGATAAACTAAAAGAGGTATTTTGTTATAATATATAATATTAACGTAACGTAATAATAAATCTTTATTAATTATATTATTTAAAAATCCAGTTATTTATAAATAGTCGACATGAGTTTAAGTATTTTGGCATTACTCAAGATCCTATTACGAAAGATTTTATTATGATTTCAAATTTAAATTGGAAAGACACTAAATACTATATAATAGATAATATGTTATGCAAAAGCGGAAATAAAATTGTGGATGATTTCATCAGAAATAAGCAAATCAAAAGCAATTGAAATAATAGAGTTTATTCCTTATACTCGATTAAAGATGAATATATTGCCAAAGGTGGTTTTAGTAAAATTTATAAAGCTACTTGGATTGATGGAAATATTTATGGTTTGAATATTAAGAATTTTGAGATTGTACGAAGAGTTTCTACACAAATTGCTCTCAAAAAACTTAATAATTCTAAAATATCACTTCAAAGGAAATAAGTGAAGTATTAAAAATTTTATTATCTTAAAACAATGAGGAAAATGTATTAATATTATACTTCTTTTTTTAAAAATAGCTAAATGTTTTTTATAATTGTTATTTAAATACAAAACAACATTATAGCTTATATATAAATAAATATTATGGAATTACACAAGATCTTATTACAAAAGATTTTATGCTAATTATGAATTATTATCAATATGATTTAAGGAATTTTATAGCAGGCAAATTTGACAATATGAATTGGAATGATAAACTAAACAGGTTGACGGAAATGGACTTGAGTACATTCATAATACAGAAACAATTCATCGAGATCTTCATAGTGGAAATATTCTTATAAATCATTTTCCAGTAATATCTGATTTTGGATTGAGTAAGTCTTCAATAGAATCAACAGATGAAGATAAAGAAATTTATGGAGTCATACCTTATGTTGCTCCAGAGATTTTTAAGGGAAACAAATATACTTTAGCTTCAGATATATATAGTTTTGGCATGATAATGTGGGAGTTTATGACAGGTAGAAGGCCTTTTTGGAAACTTTTTTTGTCATACTTTTGCGATCGGAAGAATCGATTAATGGTAAAATCGATAATGAATCTTTTAAGCTGCTTTGCGTTTTTCGTTTAATCCCACAGCAACGTGATTGTACAAATCCCCATGGATGGATTAATGATGCGCCTAACAAAGTTTTAAGAATATTAATTGATGAAACTTTTTTTTATAACCATTTTTAAATATATTCTTACCAAATAGAAATATATAGAACGCCGAAGCTAACCCCCAAGCACCTGCGTTATTAAAATACCAACTTAGGATTAGTGTTCAATTCCGATAAGTAGAATTACTTTACTTACCGCCGATAACTCCAAAAATACTCACGTACTAGATCAATATACGTTATATTATTAGTTTAAAAAAAAAAAAATCAATGATATAAAAAATAAATGCTAACCGTTCTTGATCTTCGAAATATATAAGAAATCAAATGAAAAAACAAATTGATTTGACCATATATAGTTTTGATTTAATTAGTTGACTGACCACCCCAACGCGACACGTGATAACTATAGAATTTATTGCGGCGCTTTATACATATTGTTTCCTCTTTTCACTTCTTTAACTGTTTTTATACAATAAAAATGAATGATACAGATTCTGGTTTAGTGAGGAATATTTCCTGTAGACCTATTTGTTAATATTCCAGAAGATAGTGACTACAGTGATGATGAAGGAATTTGGCGTAACATTTTACCTTGAAGTCTGCTTTTGACTATATGAAAAAATGGTTACTTCAACAAGGTTTTCTTTATTCGAAAAGGAAGTTCAGAAAAATTACAAATGAACGTAGTAAACAAACAATTTTATGTAGAATATCAAACCAGACCTTCGAAATTTCAAAGAACTAATTGTAAATGGCATGTTAACCTTTCCTGCCCAGTTAAAAATAATCCAAATAAAACTATTTTATACTACGATATTTAGATTCAGATATAATTTTGCTGGTAACCGAAATCAAAATTGAGCATAACGTTTATCAAATCCTAATCGAAAAAAAACAGAAACAGGATTGATGACTCGAATTACTATTGTAAT